TAAATGTAGAATATTTATGACATAAAATATATTTTTTATAGTTATATTTTTACTTTTTTACAGATCCTTGTTAATCTTATAAGCAGTTGCGTATGAATAAATAGAAGCAAATAGACTAACAAAAATAGATGAAAATATGACAGCTTGATAATCATATTTTAATGCAACATTTCAGTCTTGCAAGGCTGCATGATGAAAACATTATTGAATATGATTTGCAAGCTATAGCAGTGTGTGGGATTCATCTATATTTGTTACACCTTAGTTTTCACTTTTTCCATTTTATAGATGTATTTTATACCTTTTAATCCTATCCCCAACATTAAACATACCCACCAACAGTATTAACGTACATATTATACATATTATATAGTTAGATTTGAACAGCTAATCCTAAACATAGCCAAGTAATTGCAATAAGTTATTCCAAAAATCAGTACCAAAGTAGTCCAAACGACAACATGCAGCAGTATCAGCTACCTTGATAGCGGGAAAAGGTTTTTATTTGCTATTATTGCCATAAACTAAGACTAATGAATTGTGTACAATCAAACCAGGAACATGTATTAGGAAAGTAAATAGGGCCAATTTTGACTTGAAGTCGACTTTAAAGGTTAAGGAGACTGTAAAGGACAGCCAAAAATTTACACCAGAGCTTTCGTAGCCCAGAGGACTTTTATATCACAGGCCTTTTGTTTTTATTACAAGTGCTGGATAAATAAAGGAGCGCATTATGAGCTGTCCTTGGCGTTAACTGCTGCGGCAATAACCAAGAGTGACTGCGAAGAACGCTTATGAAAAAGAAGCGTGGTCAGAAACCGATGATTACATTAGGATGGCTGAAATATTTCATTGAAATCCATGGATGTTTCTATCGAAGACATACATTCTGTTTACCTTCTGTTTTCGGCGTGCCTCTTAAGATGAAATGAAGCAGCGAAGTATAGATCACGAAAACAGCTACAGCCCGACCTTGGAAGAATAACTGGCCCTTTATAGAAGGACTAACAACAAAGAACATTTGGAAGACACTGTGCTCTGAATGGGCAGATATACTGGGCCAGTGAGCAGTGTGGCATCCCAACAAAAACTTCCTGGAAAAGCTGTGTCTTGCATTTCAAGTCAAACTGAATGAAGTGCCACTGGCAAGACTCCACTCACGCCAGGCCTATGGGCAACCACACATTTAAAAGAGCTGTTCCATATCAAGCGGAGAGGACATCCGCTTCCCTTGTGCCTTTCTTCCTTAACTTCCGCCCACCCCTTTCTACATTTATGCCATCGCTGTTTGCCATGCAACTTAGCCTGCAGCTACATACGCACACATTTCAAACCTCGGTAAAGTTGAGCTATCCAAAAGCGATTTCCATGCCATTTTATCGCCTGTTATTGCTCAGTCGGAGCCTAGTTCAGATTCCAACACTTAGCAGTTTCCATCACGTTGGCAGACTGCTGGAATATGACGGCTTGTCCAATTCATTGTGAATTCGTCTTTCTCGTGGGGGACAAAAACCCCTGCTACTCTCTGAATGCTGTGTAAATAGGTTCTCTGGTTTGATCCCACCAAATGCCCTTCTCTCAGACAATTAAACTGCACCAAAGCCAAAATTATAGCGGGAATTCTCTCTTAATAAGTGATTTGTCAGAGCCTGTTTGAAACATGACAGAAACAGCTCCCTGAGAGATTTCAGCATGCCTGCGCGTTTCATAGGAAATGTGTAGCCAACATCAGAATATTATTTTAATAGAAGCAAATAATTGATCCTGTAGTTGGGGAATGGTTTTAATGCAATCTTTAAAAACACCCTTTAGGCATTAAACGTTCTATTAACAGCATGATGCATCCCAGGGAATTCTTAAACTGAATATATAAACAGATAAAAACTAGATGCATTGAAGATTGCATTGAAGTATAGCCTACAGAACTCATTAAAACGCCTCCTGCTAGAATCACATACAATCATATAAATCTAAAATATTCAGCACTCAGCATGTATGGAATAAAAAGAAAAATAGTTTGGTTCGATATTGGTCTTGCGAAAACGCTTTAGAAAAACCCTGTACATTAACGTTAGTTACTGCAATAGCTAATATGAACTAAAACTGAACACCTTTAAAGCCATTAATCTTGGTTAATGTTAATTTCTACTTAAGCTAATACATTTTAACATTTGAAGTTGTATAAATTAG